TTCCTAAGTTGTTGCCGCTGCAATTTCATGAAATTCGCAGTTTTTAAGAATCGTCGAATTTCCACCAATTAGCTTGAAACAAAATTTTTTAAATTTAAATTTACATTTATATCTTATCTTGATTTTTAGTCAGCTCAGGTATCAGGTGGGTCAAGGAGAATTTCATCCGGAATTCCAATTGCATCAGGCAACATAGTCATGTGTCTCGCAGGCTTTGGAATATCACACCAAAACACCGAGCAGTCCCTTCTATTCATAGGTCAACGCCCTGCTACCGGTTTTTTGGCTAGTTTGGTTTTAAGGGGATTAGTATTTTAGAAGAAAATTAACGCCCTTGCCTGACTTTCGAACCCGGCTCTCTAACGTGCAGAGCAACCTACTGTCCCCTGGCACTACTGTCCATCTCCCCTCCTCGCCGCCGTTCCGTTTAATTAAACAATTACAACCAAATAAAGAAGCAGGTCAAGTTTCTGTGTAATACAGCGGTAATTAAGTATCTGTCGTGTGAAGTTGAACAGAGAGTCAGGTCATTATGTTGCAGATTATTCATTCAGATTTCGGTTAAGACTGTACCAACAAGTAGACGAACCCAACGAGTTACTGCAGCGATGTTTATACGCTATATTAGCAAGTTTTATGTAAATTACATAGACAATGTCTTCCTGGATCGGTTACTGCAGGTAAGGTTTGGTTGCCTGCATTTCGTTTTGGGGTCGTTCAGCAAGTTACTAAAAATATTTTGTGTGGTCATATGTTATTTTCTGCGCATAGTTCTCTAACGGTTTCTTACTCATATGTTAAGCATTTTTTATAGCATTGTCTTAATATCGTTCTAATAACATGCATACAGAATGTTGTGAATGCCTGTTCGATCAGCTGGATGCATACGCAACTGAATCAGTCAAACGGAAAGCAGCGATATGGCCTATGCAAATGATGCTTTTAATTCTATGTCCGGTAATAAACTTGTAACACGATCGAATTCGTGATTCATTCATTCGTACGACGTCGTTTTCGTTTTTATAGAAAGTGCTCGAAGAAATTTACCACGCGACATGTGGCGCCCCATGCCCCGCAAGACTTAGTAAGCAGGTATGATAGAGCGGAATTTAATCTATTGCCTGTCCAGTGGAAGTATTTGACTGCTGAAATTCTTTTTTCTGCACAGACGAAGGTAGAAAAGGAAAATGAATGGGGTGTGAAGTCACCGCACGTTGAAGGGTGGCACTTATCGAAATCAAAATATGTAATGCTGTCCTGTTTTGCTTGTCACGATGCCCGTCTGTTGCCATTCAGTAGCTACGCGCTCTGCGCTTAAATGGGGTACAGCTGAGGCAGTAGAGGAAAATTCAACGTTTCGAGGTAGTATTCATAAGTGATGACAAACAGTTCGTTGAAATAACCTATAAATCTGCGCGACAAGCGTAGTAGTGAGGTAGCTAGACGGGTTTTTGGCTAGAAACGATAGACGATGCAGTAACTCTGGGTCGGTCTATGTACTTGCCTCTATCTGAGACGCTATGGCTGCCGTCAGTGCTGGATATTGACCGGGAGAGTTTGATCTCAACGAAAACGGTAGAAGTTAGAGTCCTTCGAAAAACTGGTGACGTGATGAGCCTCAGTAAGTTTCGGAGTAAAAGGATCCAAGATACCTTTATTTGTGAGACGCTCTTTCTCTCGATCGAGCGGCGGTAATTGCGATGGTTCAGACATATGATCAGAATGCCAGAACAGTTTCACAACATTGACGCATAGCAGACTGTCAATGTGCAGAGAGACGGCTTGGTGGCCTGCATATATTTAAGATCTAATATAATAAAAGCCTCGAATTCAGCCCTTAGAGTGCGCCTTATTGGAGGAGAACCTGAATTACTGAAGAAAGGCTACTTTTGCTGCTACCCGTGCAACGTGGATCAAATAATCAGCATTAAGTGTTAATGCCCGTATGTCCGTCTGTGTTTGGTGCTGCGTAACCTACTCCATTGGAACAGGAATATAAGAGACAATCACAACAGATTTTAATCGCCTTTGTACCGCAAATTTGTGGATTTTCCACATGCAGCTAAAGATGAAAATACTATCAGCCCACGATCACATGATGTCTAATGAATATCTCATTGCAAATCGTTGTTTTCATAGAAAAGTTTTTGAATAATAGTTCAGAAGTGCGGTAGGTTATGTTGGCCCCTTGTACCCCAAGCAGAAGATTTAAGACGCGCGGCTAGGCTTTTTTATCGGACCGTGGAGTGGACTTCAGAACAGTTGGATTTTCGCATAGACTTGTGGCACATTCTCGGCTACGGTGTGTATTACTGTGTTTTTACAGAAATTATACTTCGATTCTGTGAAGAAGGTACTAAAAATGAAGATTACCCATACCGGCAAACAGCCACTGCTGGCAGCTGCATGCATTGCCGGTGTAAAGTTGTGCAAAGCAGCCACGTACATTGACATCGTCGACTCGGCGAACGTGTTCTTCGCGCTGTTGCAGTCGGTCATTGACTGCATCAAGGTATTGGAATTTGAATGAGTTGAGCGATCGAGTATGCTTTAAACTTCGTTTGTTTAGAACTTTCTCTTCAGTCCTGCGAGGCCACTGTTCAAATACCCGACATCCTCAGAGATCGACGTCATGATCGATTGCTTTGTGGCGTTGTTTCGATTGAATTACAACAACGAGATATTCCGCATGTGTCTGAACGCGCAGTCGGCCATCCCCCATCAGCTGGTTCTCGTCATGGCGTTGTATCGCATCGCCGTCCAGCTTAGACTGTCCTGGTGGCCAAAGATCACGCTGGTCTACAGTCGCAGCAACGAATTGAGGAACATGCTAAACGAGACGATCACTCGTGTCAGCCAGGCAGCGACTAGCGTCAGTCTAGCTTCCGGTTTTGCGTGCAGCGGCTACGTTCCTCTTAAAGTTTCGCAGGTGAACACCCGGATTTTGTTGAATAGTTTTTTTAAACACAAGTAATTTTCTAAATCATTTAGAGTTTACAGAAGGTGTCGCATCTCACTGGCAAGTTGAGGGATCGTGCCAGTGTCAGTTCTACAGCCGAAGAGCTCTCACCAACGAGGAAGCTGCTGTTTTGGCTTATTCGTCTCATGTGCATAGAACCTACGCTGTTCTTAAACTACCACGTAGCACCGATGTCGTTGCTTTTTCGTTGTGTATGATTTCTGATTGTTAGTGTGAAAAGAAAATCGATTCCGATGTTGGGGACTTTCAAAACTCCACTTTAGAACTTATGAACGGTCTAGTAAGTCTGATCGGAAACGCTGATCAGCTACCGGAACTGATTACGGAAGTGATGGAGGTGTAGTCTTTTAACCATATAAACTTACCTTGACCCCTGAATAACGTTTTAAGGCCATTTTGTGTCTCCATCAGCCTTGCAATATTCTCCAGTGGAACCCGATATCACGATTGTCATCAATGGAAACGTTTTGGTATATAAAGTAAGTCGATTAGCGGTAGGATTCGATCCAATGGATAACAAATTCGTTCTGTAGCTCCCAGGTGGTGTTTACCGTCTGCCAAAAGCTGCTGCACCATCAGTTGCGCAACTACCCAGATATTTTGCGCTGGCTGAAGCAGCTCCTCATGTGTCGCAATGCGTTTCTGGCGAGCAACCGCGACATCTGCAATTTCGGTGCTTCTGAGCAGCTGTGCAAGCAGGCTGCGTTGAAGTTGGAGGTGGCGTTATTTTTGAATTGGATAATATTTGTTATTTTAGATTTGAAATGTCCTTAATTGAAAGGTTTTCTAGTGTTCCTTGTACCTTGTATTGATTATGGGATATGGCGAGATTTTGATGG